CACAGATGGCTACATTTGTACCAATGAGCCAATTATGAGTACTGCTTGTCTTGCCTGTTTACACTTTTCCTTGATTTTCAAAAATATTTTACATTATCTTATATTCTTGTTACTAATGTCTATAATATTATACTTATAATGTCATAGCATTAGTGAAAAAAAAACATATTTCCTGCCAATTCAAGCAAAGGTGAAATCAGGTAAGGTCACAAGGGCTACTAGCTGACTCCTTTGTGGATAAGCACTGGCAGAGCCATCTATGTGCAAAGACATTTCACAAAAAAAGTTTAAAATGAGCAGAGCATTTTCCTGGCAGCATTGAGTTAAGATACCAAAGGATTTCAAGGAGCAGGAGAGAGAGAGAGAGAATAAAAAACAGAAGCAAAAAGGAAAGGAAAGAGAGAAAACCAATAAATACATCACATACTAACCTGTTCCAATAACTCCAAAATTGGTCCTTGAGATATGTCCGGTGGTTCTCTTCATCACCAAATGATGCCTTGCTCTCAATCCAGTTGATTACTTGGCCATCAACAGCTGTTCAAGATTAAATCAATGTAGTCAACTAATCTTACCATGGCTCCTTATAACTAGTCTTCTCAGCTGATGCAATTACTGATTTAGTCACTATAGTTTCCACGATTTTTCACCCTTCTTTTTCCCAACTATATCTTTTTGCACTTACAAATGTATAAATTCTATAAACAAGAGGAGTTCAACTAAAAGTCCATTTACACAGAACCATCAAGAATAATAACACAAAAAACTTCATTCAGCACACTCCTCACAACCTTTAATCACACAATTCAAAACATTAGTCATAATATACCTACCAATAGGTATATCTAACTTGATATCTGGAGTCTTATCATAACCCTTCAACCGCAACTCGTCTTCATTGTGGTAGCTTATATTCAACTTCTCCAGGTTTCGTCTCAGCAAAAATTCATATTCATGACCGATGGAACTGAAAATGGTCAATGTTTTAATTACCAGAGATAACCCTCAATGTATGAATTATCATAATTAGCAAATTCACATATGAATGAAGCTTTGTACAATCATGTTTATAGATCTTTAATGTTCATTATGAATTTCCTGATATAATCATAATCATAAACTACTGTAGTGAGCAACACTAGAATCAGACTGTATGAATGTTAATCAAATTGGGTTCTCCAAGTCAAAATGATTATGATCTTTTCCTCGAATACTTACTGTTTAATACTGTCAGCAAATGGTCCATAAACATCATCCTCAAGAAGGCACTGGAAAATAAAGGACAACTTTATTAAATTCTACTTTGGACAAATAAATATCATTTGAAAGATGATTTCCTATCATAAATTATAACTCACTGCTTTTGTTCTAAAAAGCTAAATATGAATGATATTGACTTTTCTTAACCCAATCACCAATACATGCCATGCCCACTGTAAGTTTATCTATTGTATTTACATATAGCTGGTTCTATAAAAGTTTAGTCATCAAAGAGTCAGTTACTTGTACTACCAATCTGACTTGTTTACCCTTTTCCTTGATTTATATTATTGTCTTTAACCCCTACAATCTGGATGACATGACCACCATATCATGAAAAAATTTGGCTCAAGGGGTGGGTGACATGAACATGCTGGCTGTGGACTGAATGACATAAACTTGTCATCATGAGATTTTCAGCTGAAGGCCGGGGTGACAGGAGAGACTCACCACAGTTAATGTTACTGAGAGCGATGCACAGAGATAGAGGAAATGGACACTGCCATTTTATGCAACCTCATATTTGCGCAAAATGACAGAAATATCCACTGCATATCACTGCTCAGAGACTAAGTCCAAAACACCCTCAGACAGTTCTTAACCTATTCACCCCGGATTTATGTTCTGTCCCCTGTAGTTTTTGGTGAACTTCTTTACATACAGATGGCTCCACATGTGCTCAGTCGGCAAGGAGTCTATCAGTAGGCCCTGGTTACCAATCCTGACTTCCCATTCATTGAATTGGCGGGAAAATTAATACCATTGCTATCGATACTGTTATTATTGTTATTGATATAATGATTATTAAATTGTAATTAGAATATTCTAGACAATGAAATGATACAGAAAACCCTTTCCTAAAGTGAAGGAAAAGGGTAAACAGGTGAAATAGGTAGTTCTTGATAACTGGCTATTTGGTGATTAAGAACTTGTGGAGCCATCTATGTGTAAATACAATAAATAAACGTGTATCAAAGTGGGCATGGCATCTATTCTTGCCACGTGGGGCAAATGGGTTAATGTTATGTTTTCTTTAAGTAGGTATGAAGTGCTAATAAAGGAGGTAAACAGGGGGTTTGCCCCCAGTCTAGGGAATAAATAGAAAGTAGGAAAGGTTAGGTTTGGATTTTGGGTTTGCATGATAGCCTGGTTTTGGGACTTCATCTCAAGAGGGTGCATTGCTCTCGGTAACAAATACCCTCGCCACAAAGGCACAAAGCTATTAGAAAGGTGATTAGACTCATTTGGCGATTTTGCATTATTCCCATTGATAAGCAAGTGTGGAATGTATTGTCCATGAGTCATGAATGGAAGAGCACTGGCTCCACAGAAGTCATCACTTTCATGCTCAGCATCCTATTCCTGGCTGCTGTGACCAGTGGCGCAGGTTGTATTACAGAAAATTGAAAAGAAAAGAAAAGAAAAAAAGAAAAAAACACACACACACACACACACACACACACAAATAACAAAACAGGAACAATATTATTCTGAACTAACTGTAACTTGAGATACACTGATACACCGAGCAATATCAACTAAATAATACAAATCCCTAACTACATTAAAATTTAAGTACACAGTTGAACTTAAGTTATTACCATATTTTCAGGAACTGCAATTAGATCACTTATGGGATAAGAACAGCTGAACATAGATAATACAAAGAACAGGTGCTAACGGAAAAAATAATCTTACACTAAGAGGTTATGAAAGAGAGAAGCTTCAGTAACATCATTTCTAAAAAAAAAACAGAATGTACCGGCCGAGGAGAGATAATAATATGTTATAATAATACAATATAATAATATAATCAGTTCTTACCATATAAACCTCATAGCTTAAATCTCGGTCCATTATTTGTGTTGTGTCTCGCAGAAGCCGATTTACATGGGTCTTGCTAACTGGTAATGAAAAGAAATTTGTATAAACAAATATGATCCAATAAAATATGCACCAAAGTAAATTCTTCTATTTAGTTTTAAATTATATTTGCATATACCTATATAATATATAATATACACACAAATATGATACTATCAGTAAGGGGAGGATAAGAGCAAAAAAAATAAAAAGTGAGAGTGAATGTGACAAAGTATAATGAGAATAGATGAAAATGAATGTGAAAATGAAAATGAAATTGGAGTATACCTCGAACCATTTTAACCAAATCATATAGTTTTATATGTAATTTCTAAACCCTATATAACATAAAGAAGTCACATAAAATCAAGAAATCTTTATAATCTTTGATTATAAACTATAACCATTCATGATTTTTTTTCATCCACACTACAAATAAAGTCACATTGCTCACAGGCTTTCCAGGAATCAATCAAACAGTCTGATACCCAACACTTTCTAGGTATCCTGAACTGGAAGAGGCCATAACTGGGTAACTAGAGCTGGGATAGGCCGAATACTGCAAAATCACAATATGTGTGCGTGTGTGTGTGCATACATGCGTGTGTGCATACGAGTGAGTGAGAAAGTGAGAGAGTTACAGAGAGAGCGAGAGAACTAGTGAACGAGTGAGCCAATGCCCATGTACACGTGTGCATGCGTGTGTGTGTGTGTGTGTGTGCAATGAAGCTGGGGGGAAATGGACACAGACTAATATGGTGTAAAAGGCATTGAATGACAAAGGAAATAATAGTGAGAATAACGGATAACAAAATGTCATAAAAAACATCTGTAAAGGATGAAGTGGAATAAAGGAGTGGGAGAAGGAAAAAAAAAAATGGGTCAACAGTTAGCTGGGCCCACCTGCCTCCCACTGTGACCTTGACCCGACACCATAACTGCAGGGGCTAAACTAAATATTTAGACCAAGGAGAAGTGTACGAAGTTCTAAAATTTTAAAATGATCTAAACATAATGCAATAAAGCAGACTACATGTCAAAAGTGTGGTAGAGAAAAAAAAAGTGAAAATGTATACTTAAAAAGAAGTAAAAATGTCATAAGCTCAGTTGATGATTATATAGAAGAAAAACTTAAAAACATTAGAGAAAGTAATCAAGTAAATTCTCAATAAGACTGCTTCTGACTATATGTCATTATATACAGACCACCTGACTTAACTGAAGTTTTCTTTAATGAAACATTAATTTCATTAGGTCCAAGGTATTACAAATAATTCACCCTTCATTAACTGGAATACAAAGAAAATCAAAGGAGCAAATGCCAAATGTCATTGTGGTAGAAAAATTCAGACAAGAGAGAATAACTCTTGACTTTGTTTTTGTTTATATGAGGCAGTAAACAACATATCATACTGTACATTTCAAACAGACCACATCACTGAAGTTATTCTAGATAAGTTCAAGAAAACATAGATAACATAGGAAAACCAAACAGCAGAGGTAGGTAACAAGTCTTAATTAACCCACTGAAATTCAAAGACAACCAAACAGACTGGGAAATGGTAAATAACTCACTAGTGAATATTTGAAAGGGTGAAAAGAAAAAAATGTCCACTTTCTTAACCAAGAAAACAAAATAAACCCTGGACAGAATGACTTTAGAAAGTGGAGATACTGTCCACCCTAAATCCTGAATCACTGCAAAACTATATATAACTATATATATACTAAGAGACCTAAATTAGAATTAAGAAGTTGATGTAATATATACTGACCTTGCAAAAGCTTTTGATAAGGTCATCCACAGATATCTACTCCGTAAAATTAAGGACCTTGGAATCAGATGAAAAGTAAGAATATGGATACAGGATTCCCTAATGTACAGGCAGCACAGCACCTGGATCCAGCAGATTAACCCATTTGCCACAGATGTATGTTCTGTCCCCTGTAGTTTTGGGTGAATTTTGTTACACACAGATGGCTCCACATGTGCTCAGCCAACAAGGAGTCTATCAGTCGGCCCTAGTTACCGATCCTGATTTTCCCAATCACTGAAATGGCGGGATGATTAATGATATCGACACAGTTATTATTGTTATTGATGTTATTATTATTAATTTGTCATTAAAATATTTTAGACAATAAAATGATACAAAAGACCATTTCCTAAAGTGAAGGAAAAGGGTAAACAGGTGAGATAGGTTGTTCCGATAAACTGGCTATTTGATGATTAAGAACTGATGAGTAAAAGCCCTCTATTTGTAAATACAATAAATAAATGCGTATTACAGTGGGCATGGCATGTATTCTTGCCACATGGGGCAAATGGGTTAATAAACTTTTTACAAACTTATATACATACTCTGGAAACTGCTTGTACAGAGCCTTTGGATTGCTACTAATAGCCATTAATGGAAACACTACTGATTCCAAGATTGCAATATTGGTACCAAAGTATGGAATCCTAGTCTCATAGAAGATGTAATATTACTAAAACGGTTTCAAAAAGTTATCACTCTAAAATTAGACATGGCAGTTCTTAGTTATTGAGAAAGACTAAAACAACTCAAGCTTTTCTCTCTACAAAGACTGAGAGAAAGATTATTCATTATGAATATCATTGAAAACTTGCCGTCAAAGTCACAAGAGTTGGAAAACGGGGAATCAAAGTAAGACACCCCAAGACAGGATAACTGCTTAACTTCCCAATTAAGAAAAATCTATAAAGAGTTTCTCAATCAAAGAGACAAGATTTGAATAGTATGTCAAAAAGTATCAGATACAAAACTCAGAGCTTTGTGGAAGTGTTTATAACAGAATTAGACAACTGGTTGACTTCAGTACCAGACAACCACCAACAAGTGGTAATGAAATGGTTAAGGTTAATAGTTACAAGAGATAAATGTGCTAGACATCAAATGTCATATAGCACTAAGGTAAAGCATGGCAAAAAGGGTGGGAATGAGTTAACAATCAGGATAAGATGTGTTAGATATTAAAGGTGGAAGAACACTGTGGGAGAGGATGGTGGTGAAAAGGGTATAGAGGGGCAGCAAATGGAATACAATGGGGATTTGTAAATGGGGATGTGGTTAGAGGTATAGGGTGATCAAATCAAATGGAGAGTGTGTATCTGAGGAAGGGGAAGTAACACTGTATGAGGAAACTGCGAAAGAGCTATTATGAAACAATCAAAGGGTGATATGGCAAGAAATGATATTTGTAGAAGTAGGAGAATAATCCAGAGACTGAAATAAAGGAACAGGAGAAAGTGGTGAAGTATCAGGAAGACTGTCAGTAGGGGAGGAGTCTGAGGGGTTGCTGAGGCATAAGGGAGTCAGGTGAGCAAGGTGGTAAGGATAATTATCCTTAGGTGGTAAAGATAATGAGGAAGGAAGAGGGAATGGAGATGAACATGGCTTCTTGGCTGAGTGGAAGGAAGAGGGGTAGGGGGAACTTGAGGAGGGAATTGGATATCGGCAAATACTTTGAATGTAGAGCGAATAGGAATAGAGGGATTAGAGGGTGGATGAGGGAGTGAATCATTCTCTTGAGTCATGTTTATGAAATTTTGGATGTCTTCAGGAGTTTCAGGATGAGAGTTAGATGGGGAGATCTGAGAAACAAAGGTTTTCTTATGTTGAGGATAATGGATATTCTGAAGGGAACAGATGTCCGAGGAGCAGAGGAAGAGGTGAGTGTTGGAGAGGATGTGGTAGGAGAAGATGAAGATAGAGAAGGGTAGGCACCAGGGAAGTAGTAAAGACTGGAGTATCAGTATCAGTCAGAGCCATGGTCAAAGGAGAGGCAGGGGTTGGAAAACCAATGAAATCAAATTTAGATAGGCTAGTTGATGCCCCTAATAAGGATAAAACATCATTATTGGCCATGGTGAGCCTGAAATAAATGGGGAGAGAAAATGGTCTACCCCTCAGGGTGCCCATGAGGGGTAAGGGGTAAATAATTAACCAAGGGAATACTGTGCCCATGGCTCCCTAAGGCCATTCATGAATGACACAAAGTCAGCCTTTCATCCTTTCAGCACGGCCCTCACACCTTAGAAAGTAGACAGAAGAAGGGGATGATGATGAAGAGAAAGAAAGGTAAGGAAGAGAAGAAAAGACCCTGCAAAATTAGTTGAGGCATGGGCTGAAGTCCAAGGTAGGGGTGATCCCCTAGGCCTCAGTCTCCATCTCCTAAGCCCCCCCCCCCCCAATGACAACAAGAAGCAAGGAATTGGGGGGAAGTGGTAGTGAAAGAACAAGGGCTGAATCAAATGGTGTCCTTCAAGTTTAGTTCTTAGAAGATGGGCAGTCGCCTGGGATGGCCCTAACATGAGCCATTAATGGAGCCTTTGCTTAAATCTATACTAAGTAATACCAAATAACCTTAATAAATCTTGATAATGCCCAATGTATTTACAGATTTCCTTCATATTTCCATTTTGTTTTAGTATTTTCTTTAAATTAATAAAATCTCAGTGACAAATGAGTAATACTTTCTTAAGAAATTTAGATGCTTACAACCAATTGAGTATAATAGGTAAGAGTTGCAAATGACTGTATGTTGCAAAGATATTAGATTTCAGCACAATAACTACCAAGTGCACTCTGGGTATCCTGGACTATGTTAGACCAAGTCAGGGCATCTAAAATAGTGAAAAACTAAAATTGGGTATCCAGGACTGGGATAGGCTGAAACGGGGCATCACATCCTGGGATTCACAAGCTGGGTATCCCTTTTCAGATATGCTGCATTAGGAAAATTGCCTTTGCAGTCATATTATATATCATGACACGCTCAGATTGTTGTTCAAATTTCCTTGTCATTCATTCTATTTAGACCATAAGCATAAGATTAGCAGGAGTCTGAAAACATCATAATTGGAAAGGGATATAAGTGTTAACAATAATTCACTACAATTGCTATTACAACTATATGTACTATTACTACTACTTTCTCTTGATACCTTAACCCTTCCTCACAATAGACAATGTCCTAACTTGTCAAGACCGGACCATCACTCATGCCAGGATGAAATCCTATTATGTAAGCACTATGTGTTGTGAATGCTAAAGTTGTCCAATAAGGAGAAAAAACTTTCAAAAGCAGGCTTGAATCCTCGTTTTAAACTCATTATCTAAAAAATTGTAAATGCCAGAACCAATTAGGCATAAAGCAAATTAAATGCTAATTTCTCACTCAAGAGGTTGACTACACTCCATTCAGCATGTGACTTGATATGGAGAGAGAAAGAGGAAGAGGAAGAAGAAATGGAGAGAGAAAGAAAGAGACTACTACTACTAAAAATAATAATAATAATAATAATAATGATAATAATAATAACAACAACAACAACAACAACAACAACAATAATAATAATAATAATAACAATAATAATAATAACAATAATAATAATAACAATAATAATAATAATAATAATAATAGTAATGATAATAACAATAATAATCAGCAGTTCTAACAGTCCCCCTCTCCAACAGACATTCAACTGCTCTACAATATACACCACACACCAGCACATGTCAACATTCAACCTACTTGTCATATGGGGCATGGCAGCACACAAATACTGCTCCAGAATCATTTTGCTCAGCATCGCAGGAGAAAAATCCAATTCTCTTGCCATCCTTATCAAGATTCCAGGAGGTTCGTTGCACTCCACATTTGCCAGGAAGCTAAAATGAAAGGGAGGAAATATATATTCACTTTAATAATTGATGTCAATTCAAGCACTTGTTTAAAAATGACATATATAAATATAAATATATGTATGTGTACACACACACACACATATATATATATAGATAGATAGATAGACAGAAAGATAGACACACACACACACACACACACACACACACACACACACACACACACACACACACACACACACACACATATTACACACACACACACACACACACACACACACACACACACACACACACACACACACACACACACACACACACACACACACACACACATATTTACACACACACACACATTTACATCCAAATGCCCACACATACATATACACAAGTGCAAAAACATACACATACACTTAAATTCAGTAAATTACATACACTGAAGACAAGAAAACATAATTACCTCTGATATAAGTGGTTTGCATTTTCTGGAGCATTTATCTTGTGGAATGATTTCTTCACTTTTTTCTGCATCTCTTGGCAATAGATACTGCCCAATGTCTGCTGGTTTATGCTGCAAAGTGAGTTACAATTATCTAAGTACTTGGCAAAGTATAAATTCACTCAGAATACAAGATTTATGGTTTAAAAAAAAAATCATCAAGAAAGATTTTTTTATGTGTCATACTGACTTGTAAAATGTGATATCAGTAACAAAATGAAAGCAAATGAATAAGGCAATGAGATGCTTTAGATGTAAAAATGGCATTTTGTATTTATTCTAAACCTATATACATTTAATTTCTCTCAGAAGGACTAATAAGAAAAAAAAATCTTAAGCATGGATGTCTTTTTTGAATGCCACACAAATACACTTTACAATCTCAAGATGAATCACAGCTTTGTGTTAAATATAAACAGAGGCAGAATAAAAGGCGCTTCAACAAGTAGGCTTATGTAATAATTTCATCTCAGTAAGAGGGAAAAAATACAGTTCATAGCATTCCCTGAGCAGCTGTGGCATTCCCAAATATTTCTAATATATCTTAACCCAACATCACTGAGAAAATGTTGTGTTCACCATTGTATTGTTTTGTGGAATTTCTCTGCACATAAATGGCATCACTAGAGCTTAATCACAAAGCAGTCAATTTATCATCCTTGTGACCTCACCTGATTTAAAATTCCCTTGAGTTTGTGGAAAAAAAAGCTATCAATATCAATGCTGTTATTATTATAGACATTATAATTACTATAATATTATTAACATTACTAACAGTAATATAAGATACAAGAAAATTCTCTAAAATTCACGGAAAAGGGTATACAGGTGAGACAAGTAGTACCTGTAACTGGCTCATTCATGACTTCGTACTTGTGGAGCTATCTATGTGTAAAGACAATTAATAATCTAAACTTATAGTGGGCATGACATGTACATACATGCCCTCCCTGGCACATTCAGCTTAAGATATAGATTTTTTTTTAGAAGTTAATTCCAAAAACAATATTTCACCTAAATATTAATCTAACCTTTTGTAGCCATGTAATGTGACCATCACATCATGAAAAAAATTATCTGAGAAGCAAATGACTGGAATATACAATCATAAAAAAATCAGAATAATGGCTGGGGTGACATATATATGCCATTATACAAAATTTACCTGAAGTTTAGGGTGAGGGGAGTCATTTTTTGGAGGGTGATTAAGAAGGGGTTCTGGTATTGTTTCCACCAGTAAACGAGTTTGGAATGTACCGTCCATGAACCATGACTAGGAGAAGGACACTGTTTCTGTGCTCACTGTGACTGGCCATGCTGGGTGTATTACAGCAAGTTGAATATTTCAGAATTATATAAAAAAGAAAAAAGAAAAAAACACAAATCACAAATGTTACTAATTCTTATCATTTTTGCATAGTTTTAGACTACTTAAAGAACTGATATGGAGAGTCCAAAGAAACAATCTATTACTTTCTTGTTACAGTATATTAAATGGCAAATATAAACCTTGGAAAAAAAAATACTTAGGCATAAAAAGAGATCATAACACTGTAAAGAGGAGGCAAGAAGTCTTGATACTAGATACGATTGTTCATGTGGGCTGGGCCTACAAGCCACACACCCAGAAGAGCCAACACTCAAGTAAGTCTAATGCCTGAATTTTGGGCCAAATGCAGTCAGTGAGGTACCCAGATCCAATAGATTGATTAGCTTTCAAGTGACTTTTAACAAACTAATATACTTACTCTGGAAACTGCTTGTACAGAGCCTTTGGATTACTACCACTGCGATTTCTCTGTATAGCCTTCACAATCTCCGCATGTTGCTTCTGCTTCATCATTTTGATAACTATTTCTTGTTAATCTGAAATATGCAATTTTTTGGTTAATTTTGGTATGACAGTGCATCCCCTATCCCCTGCCTAAAACTAAAACTAACAAAGATAGCTATCATGTACTATTCATCACACACATCATGCACAATGGTGTAATAACCAAGCAATGAATGTTAAAACCAGCAATCAACACACTGACAACACTGAGTAAGGAACTTTCAAAAGGGAGGAGCTGCACCACTCATGGAATATTACACACTGCTCTTAGCAAATCTGAAACTGGGATAAAGTCACATAATGGATTACGCTGATTATGGTAACAATGGATTCCTCTCACTCACTACCATCCAAATATATCAAGATGCCAAAGAACCCCCCAAACCCCTGTATTCTTGGCCCCAATAGCAGGGGAGAGTATGAAAGGTACCAGGGAAGCTGGGGGGCAAAATATGAATAACATACACAGAATCAGTCACTAGATTATCTAATGCGATCTAATGTGATCCCCCTCTCCTGGATGGGTGCCATTCCCAAACCCCCGACCAGGAAAACAGAGAATCCTCCACATATTCACAGCATGAGAGAGTATCGCACAGACTCGGCATTAGGCACTCTTGCATGTCAGCCATGTGCTCTAGCCTGCCATAAATACATGGAGGATTCTTTGTTTTCTTGGTCGGAGGTTAGGGTTGGCTGCAATCCAGGAGGGGGGTAGTACAGGTGGCCCCCTGCATTAGACAAAGCAGTGACTAATTCTGAGTAAGTTAGTCACACGTTGCCCTGCAGTTTCCCTGTTACATTTCATGCCCTCCCCTGCTATCGGGACCAAGAATATGGAGGATCTGCGGCACAATTCTTCCACAGAAGTTCAAAAGCAAGCGAGAGGAATCCATCGAAACCGAAATCGCCGCGAACTTCACGTCTAATTAAAGAACTCCACGTCTAAAGTATCAAAGAACTTCACGTCTAAATTCTAAAGTATCACACATTAGCAAGTGATGAGCTAGCTTTTATCCTAAATAGAGAGCATATATTCAGTCAGACTTCATCTGCCACCCATAACTAAAAAATTACGTCAATTATAACCAATAACTTTCACAAAATTTACCAAAATTCAAAACCAGAACGAAGCCGTAACAATTAACTCTTTATTCCTAGTTTGTCTTTCTTATTTCTATCTTTATTGCTTCCTCTCTTTCTCTCTATCAACTCCTATCTACCTCCTCATACCTACCTTTTTAAAACACACAAACACCACCAGAGCTCGCAAAATGTTCACAAAAATAATACACCGAAAATTAGCAACGCCATCGTCATCAACAAGGGAAATTCGCCGACTTCGCTCGTCAGCTGATCGGTGTTTGTAAACAAG